TGCTCTGTATAGTACATTAAATTAAACGTGTGATTAAAAGTACATTTAGAATTGCCCTGCAGTATATAAATTAAATGTGTGATTAAAAGAATTGCTCTGTTATGCGGTAAAACTAAAGATATGGTTAAAATTACATTTACATTTCGGCTGTGAGACAGTGAGTGTCTCTGACTATTACCTGACTCTACCCCCCACACAGTTATAATAAATAGGTGCAAGTTGATTTTATGCAAAATACTTTGACATTTTGATGAAAATACCTAACAATTTACGCAGGTTGGATTGGTCTAGTCAGCCACGTAAACAAGACACTATACCTACGCACTATATTCACACTTTTCGTGTATATATATATATTATGAACTAAATTCTTATTAAACTATTCCACCTCGAGTGTTAACGACTACATTTTGACTTAAAACTGCGCGAAATTCGTTAAAACAACGTGCGTTCGGCCGACGCAAAAACATGACTTTACGAACTGACGAACGTACGTGCAAAATATCAACACAAACCTCAAATATGTCTACTCTAGCAATGCCTGTGCTGGAATGGGAGTCTTGTTGGGACTCTCTATGTGTGCATGGTCTTCTTCTTCCTCTACCTGAATATCATGCTCGGCTTCCTTTCTCTCGCCAACCCGCAAGGACTCCTCTCCCTCCGTTACGAGAGTTTTCCCTCCCTCTTCTAACAAGACTAGCTCTCCCTCCTTTACCAGACCTTCCCCTCCTTCTTTTACTAAGGCCTCCTCTTTATCACCTCCCAGCATAGCTTCCTCTCGGTCGCCCTGCCCCAGGGCTTTCTCTTGCTGACTGTCTAGCAGGCCGTCCTCTCTCTCGTCGCTCAGCAGGAAACGACCTCCTCCGTCACCCTGCCACAGGGCTTCTCCTCCCATCTCCTTTGCTAAAGATAGTTCTCCCTCTCCTTGCACCAGCGATTCCTTTCTCTGACTGTCCAGGAGGTCTCCCTCTCCCCGACCACCACGCAGGAGGTCTCTCTCTCCCCGACCACCATGCAGGAGGGCTTCCTCTCCGTCCTTTACCAGGACCTCCTCTCCCTCAACATGCACTAGGGGTTTCTCTCCCTCCTTTACCAGGGCTTCCTCTCCCTCAACATGCACTAGAGGTTTCTCTCCCTCCTTTACCCGGGCTTCCTCTCCCTCAACATGCACTAAGGGGTTCTCTCCCTCCTTTACCAGCGCTTCCTCTACCTCAACATGAACTAGGGTTTCCCCGTCCTCCCTTGCTAGGAATTTCTCTCCTGCCCTTACTGGGTCTTCGTCCTTATCACCGTACAGCAGGACTTCCCCTTCATTCATGGCCAGGGATTCCTTCCTGTTATCGGGAGCGTGGATACCCTCCTCCTCCTCCTCCTCCTTCTCTTCTTCTTCTCCTCCTCCTCTGCCTCCTTCCCCTCTACCTCCTCCCCCTTGTTGCTCCTCCCATGGCCTGCCTCCTCCTTCTCCTCCCCGTCCCCTCCACCTCCTCCTCCTCCGTCGTGCAATCCTGCTGCTTTCTCCACCTCCTCGCTCCTTTGTCGCTCCCCCAGTAGCCAGCCGCTTCTCTCTTCTTTTTCTCCTCCTCCTCTGCCTCCTTCCCTCTACCTCCCCCCCTTGTTGCTCCTCCCATGGCCTGCTCCTCCTTTCTCTTCCCCCGTCCCCTCCACCTCCTCCTCCACCACCTCCTCCTCCTCCATGCTATCCTGCTGCTTCTCCACCTCCTCCTCCTTGTCGCTCCCCCAGTAGCCAGCCGCTTCTCTCTTCTTCTTCTCCTCCTCCTCTGCCTCCTTCCCCTCTACCTCCTCCCCCTTGTTGCTCCTCCCATGGCCTGCCTCCTCCTTCTCCTCCCCCGTCCCCTCCACCTCCTCCTCCACCACCTCCTCCTCCTCCCGTGCATCCTGCTGCTTCTCCACCTCCTCCTCCTTGTCGCTCCCCCAGTAGCCAGCCGCTTCTCTCTTCTTCTTCTCCTCCTCTCTGCCTCCTTCCCCCTCTACCCTCCTCCCCCTTGTTGCTCCTCCCATGGCCTGCTCCTCTCTTCTCCTCCCCCGTCCCCTCCCACCTCCTCCTCCACCACCTCCTCCTCCTCCCCTGCCATCGCATCTCTGCTTCTCTCCACCTCCTCCTCCTTGTCGCTCCCCCAGTAGCCAGCCGCTTCTCTCTTCTTCTTCTCCTCCTCCTCTGCCTCCTCCCCCTTGTTGCTCCTCCGCAATGGCCTGCCTCCTCCTTCCCCCCCCCGTCCCCTCCACCTCCTCCACCTCCTCCACCACCTCCTCCTCCTCCTCTACCTCCTCCACTCTCTTCTCCTCCCCCTCCACCTCTTTCTCCTCCCCTTCAAACTCCACCTTCTTACCTCCTCCTCCTCCACTTCTACCTCCTCCCATCCTCCTCCACCTTCTCTTCTTCCTCGCACCTCCAGCTCCTCCTCATCGCTGCGTCCGCCGCTGCGCCTCCTCCGTCGCTACGTCGCAGCACGAGGCTCAGCTCTCGGTCGGTGACCGACGTCGAGCGCGAGAAGGTGTCGTCACTCGCCGACCGCGGCTCGCTAGCGGCGCGCCCTCATATCCCCGCGGCCGCGCCGGCCTTGCCGACGTCTTCGCTGGCCATCGCGGTGTCCCATGCGAGCCGGTACTGGCCCGTCGCCGCGGCGCCGCCGCGCGCCGAGAAACGGCGGTACTTTTGCGGCGTAGTCCTCGATGAACGAGCCCGCCGTTGCTGCTGCTCCCCTCCTCCTCCTCCTCCTCCTCCTCCTCCTGATCCTTCCTCCTTCTCCTCTTCTTCCAGGGGGCGCCGCCAGCCACCTCCGTTCTCCTCGCCAGGTGGCGCCGCGTCGGCGTCGGCGATCTCTTCCTGCGACACGTAAACCTCGGCGCCGCGTCACCTGCCTGCAGGCGGCCATCCGTCGCCGCGCGCCCGCCCCGGCGCGCCTCTATTGTCGAGCCGCACGACGACGGCCGTCGCCCGCACGCCGCCGACATCGCTCGACCGACGGGTGGCGACCACGGCCGGCAGGAGAGCCGAGCGAAGCGTGACGCGTGCGCGAACGCGTAGAGGCGCCCGGGGTAGCGTCGCGGTCGCGT